TTTTAATATAGATGGATTGCCTGTATCTAAAAGTTCTTCTGGACAATTTTGGCCTATTTTAGCAGCTTTAGTAGACAATGCCTTGTATACGGAACCATTCCCAATTGGAATTTATTATGGTAAACAAAAACCAGAAAATGTAAATATTTTCTTACAGCCATTAGTTACAGATATGTTGCGTATAAAGGATCAAAGTGGAATATACATAGATAAAAAACTTATTCCTGTAAAAGTAAATGCCTTTGTGTGTGATGCACCAGCAAGAGCTTTTATTGCTGGTATAAAAAATCATACAGGATACTTTGGATGTACAAAATGTACATGTGAAGGTGAATTCATTGAAAATAGAGTTGTTTTTCTAGAGTTAAAATGCCCTCTTCGAACAGATATGTCATTCAAAAATAGGATGCAGCCTGAGCATCATCGTATGTCATCTATTCTTGAAAATACAGGTATTGGTTTAGTATCGCAATTGCCTTCCCAGTCAGCACAAAAATCACAAAGATAACTATAAGAAGTCTTTTGTAATACTTCTTTCAGAACTCTAAATATGATTTCTTGAAGATCTCCGATTTAAGAACTCTACGATGAAAGCTCTGAAAGATGTCTTAAATAAGAAGTCAGTTTTTTGATATCTGAAAGAATTCTTTTTCTGTTTTCTTACAGACTTCGTAATTAAGACCACTTAATGTAGCATAAACTTTTGTTACGTTAAATATTTTTTGTGCATAGAATAAAGTTACATACGAATCTAAGTTTACGACCAGTACTTGTAACGCGTTACAAAATAGTTTGTTAAATTAACTCTTTATGCACTATAATGCATTAATTTCAAACTTTTCTAATCTTAATATTGTTCATTAAGTTCTTCAGGCTTAATAAAAGTTTATATAAGACTCATATTTATAGCGATTTTGACTGGTTTGCACCGGTGTGCCACCAGTGTAGAGTTGGTGCAAGTGTGTGCAACACCGCATCGGTGTGTATACCGATTACATCAACTGACTCCAACTAATTTGTGAGAGCCATTTTGTGCACACCCAACATGCACCAATGCGATGTACTGAGCTCAGACAAATACGCGGAACTCGGCGGAACCAGCAAAAAAACTGCATTATTCGACCAGCCGAACACACAAGTTGCACCGACACCCGAAATGTGCAGTCGATGCAAACCAGTCGAAATCGCTATTAGATAAAGTCAGTGTAACTAACGACTTAACGAAATGTCTAAAAGAAAATTATTTCAAAATTTATCAAAAAGTCAAAAAAACAGGAGGATAAAAAAAGAATATGATTCTTTTTTGGAAATTCCTTCTTCAAGTCCTTGGCAAAGTAAAAAATCTTCTATGGAAAATGTAATAATTGAGGAAGGAAATACAGAAAATGTGGAGCTATGTTCTAACCTAAAAATAATGAGAAGTGAAAATGAAAAATGTAATAGTAGTGGTGAAATTAGTTCTGTGAAAAAAGACATTAAAGACAATAATACATTAGATAGTAATAATGACATGTTAATGGAGGATAATGCTATTCTTGAACCGTTCAACATTTCAGAAAATAATAGTAATGCTTTAAAAGAAGAATTAACACGGTGGATTNGCCAATATAATATCGCTCATTTAGCAGCAGGAGCTTTGTTAAAAATCCTTCGTAATGTGCAATCGATTGAAGAATTAAAAGAACTTCCACAAGATCCTCGAACTCTACTTAATACGCCAAGAAGTACTGTTATTCGTCTTGTTTCACCTGGAGAATATTTTCATTATGGCTTACAACAAGGATTGATTGATCAATTAAAAGTCATGAATAAGAATAAGCTTGCTGAAAATATACAAATAAATGTGCACATAGATGGATTACCATTAGCAAAAAGTTCAAAAAGTCAATTATACCCAATATTGGCTGAAATTTTCCCTAAAATTACTGCACCGTTTGTCGTCGGAATATATCATGGATACAGCAAACCTCATAGCGTCAATGAATATCTCCAAGAATTTATTGAAGAATATAATACTTTGCAAAAAGAAGGCTTCCAATATGACGATCGAACATTTCATGTCATAATCAGAGCCGTCATTTGTGATTCTCCAGCTCGGTCATTTGTGACATGTACAAAAAGCCACAATGGTTTTTTTGGATGTAGTAAATGCATGCAAGAAGGTGAATTTGAAGACCATCGAATGTTATTTTTAGAAATGGATGCACCGTTACGGACGGATAATAACTTTCTTCAACGAAAAAATGAAGATCATCACACTGGAAAATCTATCTTTGAAGCATCAAATATTGGAATGGTATCTCAATTTCCTGTAGAATATATGCATCTCGTGTGTCTCGGTGTTGAAAAGAAAATATTGCATTTATGGGTTAATGGATGGCGTATTAGTAATAAAAAACAAATTAAATTTAGTGCTAAAATAATAAATAAAATTTCGAAATATTTAATCTCGATAAGAAATTGGATACCTTCAGAATTTGTTAGGAAAACACGAAGTTTGGATGAATTAGACCGATGGAAAGCCACTGAACTACGTTTATTTTTGTTATATGTGGGTCCACTTGCTCTGAAAAATCATCAACCAGATGAGTACTTATATCATTTTAATAGTTTACATTGTGCTATTCGACTTTTGTGCGACGAAACTGATTGCATTCGTAATAATCAGTGTGCTAACAATCTATTGCGTTATTTCGTTGAACAATCAATTAATTTATATGGAAAACGTTTCGTGATTTATAACGTCCATAATTTAATTCATTTGGCTGATGATGTCAAAAGATTCGGTCACTTGGATTCATTTAGTGCTTTTTCATTCGAAAGTTATTTAAATAAAATTAAGAAACACTTAAAAAAAGGTGAAAAACCTTTACAACAATTACATAAGCGGCTTGTTGAACAAGCTAGTAGCAGTTCTCTACGAAGAAACTGTGTTTTCATCAAACCAGAAGTGTCTAATTATAATGCTGAAAAATCTAAAGAGATTGCAATGCCTTCATATGATAAGATTAAGTATGAAAAGTTTACACTTTCAGCTCGTCTAACATGTGATAAATTTTGTTATATTAGAAATTACGATATTCTTCGTATTGAAAACGTTTGTATAAAAAATAACGAAATCATATTACAAGAACAAACATTGACAGATATAAAAAGTGTAGATAATTATCCCATTAATTCGGAGTTGATACACATAGTAATTGGAAATAAGTGGTCCATATTAAAAGACTTTTGTGCATGCGATGTTATTTCAAAAGCTGTTTGTTTACCTTATGATAATTCTTTTTATTTTTTTCCATTACTTCATTCGTCTATATAAGTTTTTTGTACAAGTATAATATAAGAAAAGTTTATATATTTTACTATTCTATAATCTTTTTATATTCTATAATTATAATTAAGTATTATGATCAAATTGTATTTTATTTCTATAAAATTGTGTAAAAATATATGTAAACAATTTATGCTTGCATTTAATTTGTTATTCTTTCTCATTTATACATAATAATTTTTCTTGAAGCCATTTTTCTCTAAAATTTTCGATTTCAAACAACATATGAAAAGTTAAAATAATATAATTAGGAAATAAGGCCAATACAAGCCGTTCTCAGGATGTTGTGCAGAAACAAATATATATAAAAATGTTTTAAATAAACTATTGAAAGAATCGCTTTTTGTCAATCTTCGGATTTCTTCAGGTGCCGATACTTTTCCTTCTGATATAATAAAAAAACTGTATAAAAAACTATACTTTCATATACTCACGATTATGTGCGGCTTAGAATATAAATAACCATTTAAGAATATAAATTAAAATATTAATAACTAATGAAAGTATATTACGTATTTATTAAATCTTATTACTTTTACATACTTGAAAAGTATTAATTACAAAAAGTAAAAAATGTAGTACATTTTAAATAAATACAGCTAATAACATTTAATAGCAAAAATTAATTATAATTAGCCTGACATTCATTTTCACATAACCTCATAAGTAACCTTCTAATATTTTTGTGTAGAAAATAAGTTGTTTATATGTTGTGGTATTGGTAGGTTTCCAGTTGGCGCTCGCAACGATCACAAGAGTAAACCGTGTCTATATACACTGTTCAATCGTAGTGGCTATATTAATCAAATCGACAAATGCGATTGGACATTGTGGACACGGTTAACACTCGCGATTGTTGCGAGCGCCAAGTAAAACTTAATCTATGTCGGTAAGATAAGGACTGTAGACTGACAGTGACAGTAACAGCGCATTCGGTAGACTTTTTCCATAGAAAGTCGTATTCAGTACGCACTAGTGCAGGCTACCAAATTCGCTGTATGGCTCTGTTTGGATATTATACTGGCAGTAACTGAAAATCTATGAGTACACGTACCGTATCCTATAGATTTTTCAATACTGTCAATAATAACCTAACAGGGGTAAGTTCCAAAATCTTACTTCTTAGTTATTAAAATGCTATTTCACGTCACATGTATTATACATACTATAGGTTTTAGATACCAAAATAGGATTTTGAAACATAACCCAGAGCCTAAGTACGCTGAGAGCGGCGCGATCATGCGCAAGATAGAATCGCAAGCGCGCGGCATTCATGTAGGAAGCAAAGCAAAGTGAATAAACCAACTATTTCTACGTTGTTACTGTTGTTACTGGTGTTACTGTTTAGTAGTGTTATTTTAGTGTTAATAAACCTCTATCGGATAAAGTTTACATTTTTGAGATGTATTTTGTCGCATTTTGCGAAGATTGGTGTGCAACTGTACCCGTATGCTGGGTAGATGAAGACTTAAAAATTATAAAGTGGCCTCCCAAAGATGAAAATGCTACTAAGGATTCCATGAAGGCAGTTAAACCAAAAGATAATTGGGTATCCGTAAAATACACAAGATTGTTAGGACCATACGGTAAGTTCAGCTATAGTAGGTTCATATTACATTTTCAATCATTCTTAACTATATTATTAGAATAATTATTATTTTAATCAATCATTATCTTAATACAATTTATCTCTTTTTTTTATTTGAGTCTAATCTCAATTATTGTTAATTAATGTATTATTTTATTACAGTGGATCCTCGTTTATCGAGACCTCTTTTATTGGGGACAACTTGAGGCCCAACCTCTATTATACGGACCGATAGTCGTATTATACGAACTATAATATGACCGATAGTTCATTTAATACGACTATCGATTTATATAATAGAGGTTGGACCTTGGTTACCCGAACTATTTTGTCTCCCNATCGGTCCAGATAAAAGAAGTTCCACTGTAGTTTATTATTTAAGTAGTTTATTTAAATAGTTAACTCGTTATTATTCTTAATATTTCTTATCTCTCCTGATTTTTAAATTATGGAAATTATTGTTTTTCTTTAAGATAATTATAAGACTGCAAGAGCAATAGAAATTGCTGCTGTTGATCTTTCAACAAATGATGAGACACCTTTAGAAAATATCACCAATAAAGCGGAAGTTTCCAAAAGACGTCCTCGAAAAAGACCAGCACGGTTTATTAGTTCAGATGATGGATCTAGTGATGAAATAGAAAGTACTATATCAATTCACTATCATTACATTTTATATTTTATATTCTATAACATATACATATTTTAATCAAACATATTTTATAAATATTTTATTCTGTTTTTCAGCAGATAGAACTAGAAATAACAAAAATGCATTAAAACNTATTTTTGTATACGAAAGTAATAGCAAAAAACAAGAAAACCCGGTAAAAATAAAAGCAAATGGTATACAAATTGTACAAAATATAAAAATAAGTATCATTTTAAAAATTCTTTTATTGTTCATTGATTAAATTTTCTATATTTAAATTTTTAGAGTTAGAAAATGCTTCGACTCTACCAAAAGTGATGAACATTATAAATGATAAAAACAAACAATATAAAAATGACAACAATAATACTTATAACGATGATGATCTGTTAGATACACAGCCTTTGGATTACGGAAATTTTTTTGATGATCATCCGATTGAGATTGAGCCAAAAAATTCTGATTGTGATTCTCAATTACCAACAAATAATAAGCCACTCGTACGTAGCGTTGTAAAGACCCGTAAGTATTATTGCACAGAAATGTGTAAATTTAATCTTTTAATTTATAATAATTATAGAGTACAGTGTATAACTAATATACAGTAATGCTCATTAATTGTCTCAAATTATTGGTTTTATTTTAATAGATATACCTATATACGTGACAAGTAAAGAAAAATCTCGCTCTTATAAGGTTTTGACTCCTAGAAATACTGCAACAAAATGCACTACTACTCCTGTTCGACTTTTTGAGCAAAATGCCACTACTACAAATGAAGTTTCTGAGCAAGGAGCTACAACTTCAACCATGCAAGTTCCTGAGCAAGAAGTTATTACTACTGTTACAAAAGAGTTTTCTACACCATCTCATCAAAGCTGTTGTCGTCAGTAAAAGTTTTTCGAATGTTTTTTATATTTTTATCTTTTTTTGTTAATAATTTGTCATGACTGTTTTTCTTTTGTTTATTTTTAATAAAAAAGTTATTCATACAAATTACATAATACACAAAATTAAATTTTATTCACAAATCATTGACACTAAAGCAATAAGTTCATTTTACTAAATAGCTACAAATATTTTTCTGTTAACAGCTGCATGTCGCGATATTCTTAAACTGATCGAACGTAAGCTTCATTTCATGAACATGAACCTAATGGATACTACTGGCACTATCGCCGAAAATTCTCAAAATAATACATATGAATTACCAGCATTTCCGATAGATAATATAACTAAGTTAAATGCACTTAATACTCTTCTAGAGAAATCACAAGGAGCACGTATTCAATATGTAAATTATGTAACTTATCTTCTACTCATAAATTTACACAATTTCTGGTTAATTTCATTTTGTTTATTATTTCTATACCAAACACACACATAAAAATGTGCGAGTTTTATGTTGTTTATAGAAACTCGACAAAACTTTTTTAGCCATTCAACCATAACTTGTGTTTTATTTATTTAAATTGAGTTTTTATTGAATATTATTTTTGCAGAAAAGAAAAATCCAGATCACAGGTGGTAAGAACGCCAAGAAACACGTACGTGAGATATTAAGCATACTATTAACGGATAAATTTTCCTGTGAACTATCCTGGACTGGTCAAAAAAAAACTATTGGAGTAAAGAACATGAAGTTCGTGGATCTTCTGATAGGTTAGTTATATATTTAAAATTGAATTAGTATTGTAAAAAACCAAAATTTGATAAAAAAATATATTTTAACCAATTTTCTATTTAAATAAGTATGAAATGTTATACTATATTGTGATAATAATCATTTTAGATGCTATGATCACTTCGGGACAAAGTTGCACTATTTTTGAGATCCAAAGTGTCATTCAAAGTTGGCTTCAACATGCGAGTGATCGCGTAAGATATTCAATAAAAAAACACGGACATTAATTTTTATTCATTATTATTGTTAAATGTAGTTTATCTGCTTTGCATATATATAAACACTTGTGCACCTAGTGTGCTATTGTACCTGTAAAGAAAGTAAAGACCTGTGCAATTGTACCTGTAAAGAAAGTAAATAAAGAAAGAATGAGAGAGTGAGAGAGAATATGTAACATCTGGAGACTTCTCCCTGTAACNATGCAAGTCTTTTATTTATTTACAAAATGACTTGCGATCTAAAAAGTTAAATATCGCTTTTGATCTTGTCTCCTCCTGTTCCTTTCTGACCGCCGTTGTGTGAGTACCGATACTCTTGCGTGTTCCTGCCGTTTTATTGTAATATCGCGTTACATCGTGATTACTAAAGTTTTGTTAACAAAAGAACTTCTGAATATTCTTATTTATTAACCGCAACAATTATCTATTTTATTAAATCATTTTTTGTCAGTGAAATGTTTTTATAATTTATCTTATAAATTTATTTATAATTTTGTAAAAACATACAAAACCTACTAATAAAAACTTCTTCATGTTTGTAATAAATAAATAAAATATAATTTNCCTGATTTTAATAATTCCAAATAAAAACTTGTAATTATTAAACAAAAACCATACTTTACAGACGTCTTTTTCAAGATTTCTTAAGAAAGATATTTTAAGGATATCTCATCTTAGAAATCTGAAAAATGGGCTTTTTAAGAAGTCTTGTAGAAATCAAAAAGAAAAATATTTTTTTCTTCCTAAAGTAGTCTTTTTATTGAATTCAGATACAAGAATTCTTTAAGAAGCCGAGTAGAAGAATTCTCAATCTACTCTTAGAGCGGCGCATTAGACATCTTTCTGAATTAATAAAGACATCTTTCAGAAGATATATTCTGACGTCCAAGTCTTATGCGAGAATTCTTTTAGACTTAATTCGGACTTCATATTGCTGACTGGGGAGTTTTTTTCGCAATATTTTAAATCAATTAGGGGAGATATTCGGGGTCTATTATATATGAGATGCAAAACTAGCATCCTATATGAATTTAAGAATTGAAATTTCAATTCGAAAAACACACGTGGAAAAAAACGTGAATTTACTTATATATGTGTACACACATATAAGACATATTTTCCGCACAACATCCTGCGAACGGCGCTTTAAGACTAATTATTTATTCAATAATTATAAACTTTATACTTATTATGTGTGATAATTTGTTATAATACCAAAAAAAGTCATAAATTGTATATCTTAAAAAATTTATTAATTATAACTTATAGCAACTTGTAAATGTGATTGGACAACATATAGACAGAAGATATTACTACTGTATATTTAAAAAAATTTATACATATTTCTGCATATATATTTTTTAACAATTTCACGAAGTATAAATCAAACACATATATTGTTGTTTATACATATTGTTACGCGGCGGTCACCGCGTGTGGTCGCGGGAGCCGCGTAAACGGCGCGCGGTCGGCGCGATTGTTCGTCGCCGGGCAACGGAGTTGTTGTGAGAAGTATCGGGGACGCGAAGCTGTTACGACGCGTTACGGACACGATCCTGTAATTTTCTGTAATAATTGGTATTGAAATAAAGTGTTGTAAAGAGAAGTTTCGTTCTCTCATTTCCGCGGACGTGTGCGCGAAACGCGGAGATCGACAACGAGGTAATAACGCCACCGCGAGTGTAACAATATTAACAATATCTAACTATTTCATTGTTTAATTATTTGCAATAAAAGATCATTTTACTTTCCAATTTTTAAATAAAAATTAACAAGCACAAGAAATATATTAGTTACTAACCTGTAGGGATATTCTTTGTCTCGAAAGACCATACAGGCGAGCAGTGAGCGATGCAAAAAATACCATAGACTGTATAATATATAGACTGCGCGTTTGGCTGAAAAGATGTCGTCAACGTTGAGAGAGACAACATACTTCGAATAGTAACTCTTTCTCTGTCTATCAATGTATCAGCGAAGACTTCTTTTTCCCCCACTACTTCGCTAGACAAAGATGATGCTACTATTCAACACCAGCTGTCTCTCTCTCAACGTTGAAGACATTTTCTTAACACGGCAAAGGTAGGGAACGCGCAGTCTATATATTATACGTCTATGTGCAAAACTACGCTTACGAAAATGACGATCGCTCACTGTGAGCCGCTTAGGCCTGGTTTATACGGGCAATAACTGTTAACTTATTCCGGAACCGGTAGAGTTTAACTATAGGATTTCAATACTTCTGTTTATACGCATTCGGCAATTTTGTATAAACAGAAGCATTAAAATTCTATAGTTAAACTCTACCGGTTCCGGCATAAGTTAAACAGTTATTGCCCGCATAAACCAGGCCTTAGAGAGCGTTTGCATCCAGTAGACAGATCTAGGGTATTTATTGAGCGCTCAGTGAGCGCTCAGTGGTCTAGTTTCCACCGAAACTCTCAATTCGGTTTCACTCCGGTACGGATTAAATTTAGTGTTCCGTTTCCATTGGAAGTAGAGTACTTATAGATCGAAGCGAAAGCGAAATCAGCGCAATTTGACAGGTTTCCATCGACTTAAATTTGATTCTACGTCGCATTAGGTGTGAATTAATGCTTCGGTGGAAACTAGACCAGTGAGCGATTATGCTTCTGGATGCATCCATTGACATTGTTCTGTTTGTAGAAGCTTTTACAATATCAAACCGAACCACATTGGTCCACAAAAGAGTATCGGTCTGTGATTGGTTAATTTTCTTAAGTTTTAAATTGCTTGAATTTTTTTGTATGTCTTGGCTTTACTCATTGCTGATCATTTTGGCTGAGTTTCGATATTTGCTGCCAATATTTAAAAAAAATCTATCTTATTATATTTTGTATAATAGATCACGTATAGATTACCAATTCTGGCAGTGTGAGTATGTCACAGTCTATATCAGCTCACAACTTCTTACAACCAATTTTTTCACTTCTAGATAAGTTTTTGATAACTTTATCTAGAAGATATCTTCCAAAATTGGTTCTTCTTCTTGGTTCTCAGAGGAATTTATCCAGAGGATAGTTATCGAGAGGTATGAAGAAGTCGGCCGTCAGAGAAACAATTAATGTTATTCTGTGAAGAAAAGATTTTTTTAAATATTATGTAACTTACACTCGTTTTCACCATCTCCGATTAATTTGGCAATTCCAATGGAATAACCATTAAGTTAATCGGAGATGGAGAAAACGGGTGTTAATGTACCAAATTTTATCATAACACGCAAATACAACAAATTCCTGAAGGACAGACAAATAATAAACTACAACTTAAAACCACTGTTATAATTATATTAATTATATTACACTTGAGCTATAGCTCATTATTTGTCGTGTTTTTTTATGTTTAGGTATTAATACAAGTTTATGTTTGAATATCGCGCACAATTTGACCAAAAATATGATTGGCTGTTCCCACTATGTTAACGCCTCTATGTACCATAATTCGTACTAACTCATTTGTATTCTTACTGGGTCATTCCACGTGGTTCGTTCTTGATCTCGTGCGGTCTCGTTGCTATGCCATAGTAAAACGATTGCAGTAATAGTAAACTGTTGAGAAGTAATAAATATTCTCGTGTGATTGTAACAGAAAGAGTGAATATTATTCTTTTATTTTTTTTCTATAAGCTTGGAATAAATCTAAAGTTCACAATGGAACAGGTATAACACGTTGTATATATGTATATATTTAAAAGAAAAAAAATTTATATATATGCTAAAATAGAGACATTGTGTTTGGCGTCATGACGCTAAGGGCCGGTTGTTCCAACTTCCGATAAATCTCAGCTTATTCGATTTGACGTAATTTATCTTTTGGGTTTTGATCATTTAGCAGATATATAAATTTTATCGACACGTGGAACAACGCAAATCAGAGTTTTAACCATTAGATAGATTACCCGATACTTTATTTGAAAGTGGAACAATTGGCTCTAATGCCGAGGGAATCTAAACGCAAGCTAAAACATTAAATATTAAGTAATAAAGAATTTGCATTTATACTCCAATTTTCTAATACTAATGTAGCAAACAATGGCTGCGTTCGGAGAGCACGCTATTAGTGCTGTTGCATCATTCTATCTTTATTGCTTATTAGATGTAAAACAAAGATAGAATGACACAATAGCACTGATAGCGTGCTCCCCGAACGCCAATGTATATCTTTTGATATCTTGACTAATTTTATTTTTTTTAATAAGTAGAAGCATAAGTAAGTAAAGTATAAAGAAGCAAAAATGTAAACACAGAGAAATCATTCTTTTGATCAAAAAAGTAATAATCATAAATTTATATTTGTAAAACTGAATACTAACATTATATAAATGACTACAAAAATTATGAGTTTAGTCTTCTAGCAAGTATATTTTTATAAAGACAGGTCTTTAAAAAATAAAAATTAATTAATGCAGTATCACATAGTTTCAATATTTAATTATATTTGATATTTTTTTCAGTATTTGATTATATTTGAGTACATGATAATCCTTATATCTACCATCACTTTTGCAGGATCTAAAAGCTAAAATTGACCAAGCTTGTCGGACTGCTGAAGAATTTACAAAATTGTATTATGAAACTTTGGACAAGCGGAGATACGTAAGTAAAATTAATACTGCCACATTTGGTTTGCTTCAATTAAATTTATAAAATTGTCAAAATTATGTTTTAGCTAATATCAAGAATGTACATGGAAGCTGCTAATCTTATATGGAATGGAAATGGAGTATCAGGCAAGGAGAACATACAAAAATTTTGGACAGATCTGCCACCGTCTGAACATAATGTTACTACTCTGGATGCTCAGCCAATAATAGGTAAACGCTAATAATTCACATCACACTCTTATATCTTCAATATTATAAAAATATCAGACAAGTAAAAATATTAGAAAATATCAGATTTATTATATTTAATTTGTATTTTGAATTTTACGATTTAGATTTTGACAGAATATTTTTTTCAACATTTATATAAATAAATGTTAAAAAAATATCTTACATAATATTTGTATATATAAAGATAGTAAATATCTTTAATGTATATTGTTTTTACGTTTAACATATCTTACTATAGCATAATAATAAAGGCTAAATTTATCTTGCTATTTGTATGAAGTATTGTAGTTTATTTCAAAATATTAAAAATTATAGTTTGTTTCAAAATATTATATTATGTTAACAAATAGGTCCAGATACAACTACCCAGCTATCATTTCTTGTCAAAGTTGGTGGGCAAGTAAAATATGAAGAGAAGAGCTCCAAGGCGATAAATCAAACCTTTCTAATAACGGCAATAGGTGACAAATGGAAGATTGTGAGCGACTGTTTCCGAACGCAAGAACTAGTCGATAGTGGTACTAGTTCATAACTGTACTTAATGTATTTATATTTTTATACTTAAGAGAGAATATTGCTATTTTTTATATTGTGATATAGTGATAATAGGATTTTTGTTTGTTGCAAAACAATTTATAAAATTAACATTCGAAGATATTACTTTATCAGGGTTTCACAAGCAATCGATACTCAGTGAAACTGAAATCAAAATGCCGTTTTGTTCACATATAACATCGGTATAAAAATGATGATACTAACGCGGTCCAAAAAACATCTTCGAATGTTAATAACACCGCGAAAGCATCAAATATCATTTTATAAAATATTGACTACGTAATTTGTTAAACTTTTAATAAATACTTAAAAATCAACAAACGTGTATTATTTGTATAATAGCGCACACAATTAGCACAACGAGAATTAGTTTTGACAGTGTGCATTGTTACTACTTAGGGCAAAGCCATTCAAATTAAGAAACAACGTAATTTGATAATTTATTTTTATTTTCATTTTGAATTCATCTTATATTAATGTATAAAGCAATATTAAAATTTTGTATTAGTGAATCAGTACGTTGGTCGTATTCTTTATAAGAGATTAATTTTACATCAAAAAATTAGAAATAAATACAAATATATAAATAGACATAAAATCACTATAATACAGATTATATAAAACATTCACTTTTAGTATCTCATATATTTAATAATACAATTTCATTCAAACAATAAACGATTGACGACTAAAATTTATTCATATAACTATTATTGGTTTTGTTGAGCATGATTCTTTTGATATAAAAAAAAAAAAAGTGCGCGCGCGAGAGAAAGAGAGAGAGAGATAAAAGGCTTGATTAGTTTATCACAGGTACAAATAATATATAAAGAAAATCGAAAAATTGGAATCGAAAAAGAAAAAATACATTTATACATAATTAAGATTACTAGTAAATTCAGTATATATACTACTAGCCGTAAACCGTATTGATAATAGGCAGTGTAATAAGAAAGAGTTCTCCGGTGACTCATCTCACGTTTCTATTGCATTCTTCTTTTAGTTATCAAGCACAAGCAAAATGAAGTATAAGCCTGAAAACTTCCATCAAAAATCAGTTCGGAGTATTATTACTATCGCAGCAGTCTACAGTCGATGTATTACGAACTATAAAACTTAGCTTACTTATTATCTCCGCGAAAACATATAGCCGATGCAACGCGCATATCTGCACGGGAACGTTGTAAACATCAAACGTCATTAAAAACAACAGAATTTTAATTCTTCGTATATAATACTACACTCATTCTTTTCACACGTTTTAAAATATGTAGAAAACATATAAACTCCTTCCCTCCCCCATGCAGAGTAGTGCAGATGAAATACGAAGAACAAAGTAGTACGACTAATACGCTCGAACAAATGCACAATACTTAAAACTCCTCTCCGTATACGTGAGTAGAGAGAAAAAATACTGTACAGACACAGATTAATATGTATTATTTGTCCGCTGTTTTGTTGCAGCTTTCACTTTTCATTTAGATATATAATCTTATCAATTAAGATGCACTTCCCGTAAATTGTGATCGTCACAAATCGTTTGCACTCCACGTGGATGTCTTCAGGCGAATATTTCTGCTTATTGTGCTTTTTGGAAGAACTGTACCGTCATGGTACTCTGTACTAATATGGATAAGAACAAAGCACACGACACTCAAGAGTTATTTGATTAATTACACATTTCGAGTTCTGTTTGTCTAAACATAACACTTTTGTATGTAGGCGTACGATATTATCGCATATAT